AGTGTAAAAAGTTTTTAAGTAAACATATAAGCTGTAGAAGGGTTAAGAATTTCAACATTTTTAAAAATACATATATTTAAGGGACGATGTATTTATTATGTCTTTTTAATCACCTCTTGACGTCCGTAACATGGTTGAAATTATGGTCAATTGTTGAGGCTTATTAGAAAAGACTAATCAAAATTTGGGAAAATCGCTTTCGGAACTCTAAAGAAGAAGACATTTTTACCCTAACTTAAAATATTATTTCGATAACGACAAATATGATTTTGACAACCTTAATACCTTTGCTGCTTTGCATGTTACGTGAGAATACAAAAGAAATGTGACACTGGCAGACAACCTCCGTTTCTTTCGCCTGTGAGCATCACTAGAAACGTTTTTAAATTTTAATCATAAATTTGTTTTTGGGATTTTCTTCCTCCTTTTGAGTTTTGTCTAATCGTTTGACTAAAGCTCTTCTTTTCTTTCTTTTTTTTTGTCTTTTTTTTTCCTTATTACACTCAAGCATATATATATCTTTCAATCTGAGGGAATCTTCAAGAATATCTGCAGACATTCGTGTAAACTATTTGGTGTATGTTATATAATGTAGATCAAAATGAAGCTGTTTGACAAATTCTAATTTCACCCACTGAATAGAATCGGTAAATAATGGACGTGAAGCTACCAAATGTTAGGGTTTACGTAAAAATGATTATGGAGTTTTTAAATGCCTTCGTTCGTGGGATTAGAGTATAGTAAATCGAGTTTATTTAGGCATAAACCAACCCACAATCTACGCAACCAAATGTCTTATGTCTCTATGGATTGAAATTCGACTCACGGCCATCTTGTGGCTCCTATAATTCTCTCCAACGTCCTTCTTGCGATGGTCTGATCATATTTTTCAGGTTGATATTACGTCATGTAAAAGATCTTTACGTTGTTGGCAAGTCCATTATAACAAACTGGTAGCAAAAATATATTATCTTATATATATACCCAAAAGAACATTATATTATATTCTTTAGATGCATAAATATTGTATACATAAACCGACTGATTATCAATTATGTTGTTCAGGTAGATCTAAGATAACGAATGTTATAAAATCATTTAATTAGGCGATCTACTATTAAAGTCTTTGAATCATCATGTGTTTTTAGGCCAAGTACCGGCAAATATTGTTCCCTGCACATGACAAATTTGCCATAATTGATTATGAGTTAGCTTCCAAATTATTATGTTTTCTAATCTTTTTATAACGGTTATTATAAAAGGTGCATTTGCTTTTTTTTTTTTTTTTTGGTCAAACAGGTGCATTTGCTATATAACCATATGGAAGATATCATTTAAAACAAAAATTATGATCGTAAATTCGTAATTGAATTAGGTGATATTTTGCATAATAACAATTGTATCATCGGATAAAATAATATATTACAAAATTCATGTTATTTGTTAAAATTATGCACGATTATTATCCCACTAATTTAAGATTTTCTATCATCGTGTTTTTTTTCCCTTATTTTTTGTAAATAAAATGATATTCTGGTTTTATATCAACTAACTCCTTTACTTCACTTTTTGTTTGTCTTTTTTTTAATGAATCCCTTAACTTAAATTGAGTCTTTGGTATCTTCGAAAACTACAAATATTAAGCAATTAATTACATATTTTTTCAATGTTCTTAAGAGCCTAGATCAAAACACATAAGATGCCTTTTTATAATCTCTCGAGTCTCTCGACACATGTACGATATTCTCAAAAAGGAATACTAAACTTGAAATAAAGGTAGAAAATGTATACCGCAATTATCAAATAGAAGAATTCTTTGTATAAAAATAAAAAGAGGCTTTCTATTTATAATATCCATGAAATGAACAATCCGTGATCAATGGATATAAAACAAACTATCCAGCATCTAAAAGTATAGTTCTGCCAAAAGGGTAGAATAGGATTCCCATTATTACTCACGATGTAGCATAACCATTATTTTGTGATGTACTGGTGGTGTATGGATCTATTGGTGATAAATCGAACTTTGAAATATAATTAAAACCTCAAAAAAGAAACTCGAGATAGGAAAATCAATTAAAATATGAGATGTGTAAAAGTAAAGAATATATACAAGAGGCTAGGATTTCTCCTATAAGTGTAGTACACATAAAACCCTCCAAAATTCACTAGAAATAAGTTTAAAACATATTTCAAGAATCTGCACACTACAAGAAAACGGTGGTATTGCAATATTGGAAATTGTTGCTATAGGCCAATATAACGTTACAAATTAAGATTTGCAATAAAAACGCGACCAAACTTATATCGTTGCTGATTGAGCGTTGCAAATTCGTATTTGTAGCATAAACATTGTAAAATTTGCAATAAATCGATTTCTCACTATAGATGTTGTATAAATGCAACAATATTTTTACAGCAAATTTGTCGTATAATTACGACGTATATTTGCAACACTAAATTTGTCGTAAATCATTGCTACATAAAACATATAGCGAATACCATTGCAAAACTGTGATAACTATTTTGCAAAATACCTTTGTAGCAAAATCTTTGTTACAATGACAAAAGCGTAATTTGTTGCAAGTATTGTCGTAACTAATATTTTGCATTGTTATAAAAATATATATAATCAAGATTCTATTTTTAATCGTTTGGTCGATATATAGTTTTTGTTGAAATATTATTTTGCTATATTTAAAATCCGATCCATGGGTTGTTAGAAAATTATAATGACTAATCAGTATTAAATTTTATAATTAAAATGTATAGTAACAAAATTCCAAGATTGAAATCAACAAGGATAAACATCCAACAAAATAAATATCAAAATATTTAAAAACATCAAATGATAAATAAAAACCACATAAAATAAGAAAAACTTATAATAGTCGATTTAAAAGAAATAATATTTTCTCCAATGCCTTAGCTTCATGGTTGTTCCTTGATTTTTGTAATTTTGTTAAGATCTGCTTTAACAAATCGGTCCTTAATGATTCATCTGAAAAAACTTCAAAAAGAAAACGTTAGTTAATACTAAAATAAATCATACAATAAAAATAAACAAAACAAAAAATTAAATCAAATGATTAAGTTAAAATGAATAAAAAAGATTTTTTAAAAAAAACTTAAAAGGTAGGTATTGGCTTTGCTACCTTCGTCCGAATGAAGAGCTACACAATTATGGACTTAGGATGAAGTAAGAAAAATTTAGATAAAGATGCTAACGCTGTGTGAGATAGTAGAAAATTTAGGACCATTTTTGAGGAATCTTCCTCTTGCGATCAAGATCGATGACGAATTCGGAAAACTTCGGAATGAAATTACAATCGCTCATTGTGATGTTGTACCTAACATAAACTCGGTTCTTCTACCTAAAAAGTCTGCAATATATACCGAAGAAAAGGAAACGAAATCACGGATCAAGTCTCAAAAGAAAGCATAATTTTCTTAAATCTTACTTTTTATGTTTTGTTGATAACGTGATGTTGGGATTGGTCATATAGAAAACTCAAGCTTTTAATCTAGTGTCGATGTGGTTGAGAAAGTTGTTCAGATACCATTTACTATTTATAAGATTATAAGATATATTTGTTGGTTCTAGTATTTTAAACAAAAAAACAACAAAAAGAAAATAAAATAATGGAATATATAATATTGTTGAGAGGATCATATCCCAAAATCTAGAACTATCCAAAGATTTGGAGTCAATTAAGAGAAAATCGGGAAAAGGAGGAAATGCTAAATAGCACAATTTGTCATTTTACGTGTACGTATAATTATTTGTTTGTTTGACGAATTTTGTTTTACCTTTGTTTGTTTAAACTTAAGTACACGATAGTAGCGTCAAAAACAAAAAATTAACATGTCAAAAAGCATGCACGATAGTAGTTTGGTTGAGTTGCCTAGAATTCGGGCTTGGTTTAAGTTCAATTTGGATTCAGTTTAGTTTGGTTTTTTATGATTCAGTATAAAATTTTACAGGACTTTTAAATTATAGTAAAATTTGACTAGTATTCATCAATATGGGTCTTTTTATTTTGGTTTTTATGCTTAGAACAAAAAATCACAATCCAAACTCTCACTAAATTATGATATGATAATATATGGGATCATGTCTCTATCGAATAACCCAAACAGTTCCACAAAATTTTATGCAATCAAACTAAATATACCAGACTTGTCAAAATGTTACTAAAAATGTTGCATATATAGCTACATAGGTGCTATGTATTTTTAATATAATTTTCTTGAGAAAAAATAACGACTTACTAACGTTGAATTTTTTCTTGCAAAATTTGGTTGAAATTTAACATGTCGTAAGAAAGTTGCAAATTAGTAACGAAAATTTACAACAAAAGCTTTTGTTGGAATATTGCAATGAATTTGTAATAAAATTGCGATGTGTATTTATTATTGCAAAAATATTGCAAAATGTATTGCAAGATTTCAACAAAAACGATCGTTGCAATAATTATGTTGCAATATCTCTATTTTCTTGTAGTGGCACAATTTGATTTCTTATTTTGAGTGATCTTCAGACATTAAAATATTCTATATAACATGTTATATGTTTGCGCTGATAGAAAAATCGGATTTCTTCTTATTACAACATTAACCCACCAACCCTCAATTCATCTAGATTCTTAAAAGTTTTGAATTTTGTAAGTCTTCTTAAGAATATCTCCAAATCTATAAACCATGACACTAATATCATGGAGATATCCACACTCTTTAATGATTAGAAATACCTTTGTGAAATTTTACTTAGGAGAGTTGAAGAAATACCCAAAATACAAATCCCAAGCAATTTTTTATCATGATATTTCATCTGCCTATAATGTTTGATTGGCATGAAACATGATTTTGTAGAGCGTACGTTACATGCTAAACTCTAACTAATCATACAACGATACATTTTAATTATTTACTTTAATAATCTACAATATTAATGCTCAAGAAACTATATATAAATGGGATTAGTTCTTAAGATGATAAAGAAACTAATAATCATACTAATATTAAGTAAACACTTCTCACCAACAAAAAATATTAAGTAAACACTTTGTACTCATGCGGCAACAGAGCCTTTATTACAAACACACTCATAACGATGATGCTGAGATACCTAACGCCTAAAACGGACCCAAAAAAAAAAAAAAAAATTGAAATGGAAACAAATCAAACAACAGACCCATTTTCATATATAAATCTCTCTCTTTGGACATGTCTCTAAATCGGACAAATAAAAACGGCCCCATTTTTTTGTGATTTCGAGGGTTTTTCAGGTCCACATTTAATACATTAAAGCATCAGAAGACGCCATGAGAGGCTGGTTCATCATGTACGACATGTTCATCTGATTCACAAAGAAATCATCACACTCCAAACCAACCAGAGGGTTCGAACACATGCCCATGTTGTTGTTGTTATTACTGTCGAGAAACTCGATAATGTCGTTGAGAGATTGGAGCCTGTGGTTAAGTTCATCGAGCTGAGCTCTGAGAACAGAGTTCTCTGCTTCAACGGTTAGATAGTGTTGCGTTGTGATGCTGACACTTGTCACGATCTTGGTGTTCTCTTTTTTCAGATGATTAACCTGAGCCGTTAGATCGTCGAGGAGCTTTTGTTTCTTCATCCTCGATCTCCTAGCAGATTCACGGTTTGAAAGCATCCGTTTACGTTTCCTCTGCTCCATGAGACTCTCCTCCGAACCTGACGACGTTTGAATCGTCGACGAAGTTGTTCCCAACGACGACGATTCCATTTAGTAACACACAAACAAAAACAGAAACAAAAAAAAAAGCCTTTTCTTTACGAGAAGAGAGATGAAATATTTAAAAATGGGTTCTTTAATTTAGGGAAATTATAAACAGAACAGAACAGAACAAGACAGGACAGGACCCAGATGACGAAAAACGAAGAAGAAAAGATTTGAAAAGAAACTAGGGTTTTGTTTTAATTATGCGTATAGATAGATATAAAATTGGAGATTGTATTCAGAAATCATGAGACATAGTAAAGCCAGTAAAGGAAGACAACAGAGAAAGATTGAACAAGATGGGTCCTGCGCCTGATTGTGGAATTTAACATAAACCCAGAGAGAAAGATCTCACTGAGTATTATTGGAGACATGTGTCTCAAACACCAAGAACTGCTGATTAAGCATCAAGGTTTTTTTCTAATTTTTTTTTTTTTGGTAGACTACTCTCACAGAAGCTGAGATCTTTAAGAAATGAATCTTTGAAGAAATCAGAAGAAGAAGATGGAAGGAATTAAAGGCGATATCTTCGAGAGAGAGAGAGAGAGAAGGAGAGAAGAGGGGGCTTTGAAATGGTTTAGGAGGAAGAATTTATAGATGAAAAATCAAGAAAAAGCGTTTTGAGTGTTTGTGCAACTTGATGATGAGCGATACATTTGTTTGGATTCTATTTGGGAAAGAAGATTCTTTACTTTATTTTTACATTTTTTCCTAACTTCTTTTTGGTAACATTTTTTCCCTACCCTTAAAAAAAGGTTTATAAAGGAGTGTCTACATTAATCAAAGCAATATTTTTAAGAAATATTTACAAATTAAATGAAAGATAAGTTAGAGAAAAAAAATTCTTCTTTTGAATGGTATTGATAAAAAATTATATATTTAGTTAGTAAATTATTTACTCTTATTCCATTATGTCAAGATAAAACATATATTTTTATATTGTTTAATGAAAGCAAATCCTATATTAATTAAATTAGATAATATATATCCTGCATTTCTTATAATTAAAAATGAAAAAAATAATCAAAAATTCAAAATATAAATATTTGATTTATATTTATGCTTAAAATAACTCTCGACGATACATTTGTCAATTTTTGTTTGTTTATAAATTTTGTCGTAGTTAAATCCTAAACACCCATTTAGATTTTATATATGCATTTTATAACAAGTAATATTGGAAATATAATTTTATTGATGCTCTTAGAAAACTAATACCAAATGATTTACCTTTCAAATTTTAAAACTGTCGTAGTAGATAATGACTAGATGTAGATATTTCAAAGAGAAAATTAAAGCTCTCACAAAAACAAAACAGCTAAAAAATTGACCTGCCTAATTTCTTCTTTTTATTTTGTTTAATAGTAACGGTGATTTCTTAGGAGGAAAGAAATAAGAAAAAGAAACAAAGTACAGATTCTTTTACAAAGAATGCAGATGAAAACTGTTCTTTGTTTTACAGGAAAACAAAACTTTTTCTTTGTTTCTCTTTTTATCATCACTAAAAGTAAAAATTAACCTTAGAGAAAAGAAAAAAACGAGAACTTTGTTGAATCTTCTTCAGTAAAACAGTAAGTCATCTATTCATATAACGACAAAAAGAAAATAAAAACTAATACTATATTTGTGGTGCGTATTATTTTTTAAAAAAGACCATTAAAGCCAGAATTTGTCCGGAAAAATCTATGAAACTATTTAAAAATCAGTAAATAAAATAGCTAATTTGTAGGAAGAACCTGAAATAAAAATAAAAAGAGATTAAGAAATGCAAAGGAATATGTGCTTAGAGTAAAATGAGAAGAATATGTGTAAGTAGGCAGAAGAAGAACAAAAGGTGAGAGAGACATGTGAGGTTGGGATACGAACTCTCCAGACCCACCCAACACAGCTGTTTTTTTTTCCTATTTTTTTATTATTTTCTTAATTTTATTCTTCCTATCATTATTCTCCAATTTATACGTATTAATCTGGGTAATTAATTATTCAGATGCTGATAATATATAAGGATTGTAATTAGTTAAGTACTTGTAGAATAGTAATTTAATACTGAAATGTATTCCACCGTCTTATCACAGATGGTGTTATATTTATGAAAATTATTTTACAAAATTTAATTTACGAAAGAAAAAAAAAACTTAATTTACGATCAAATCAAATTTTTTTTTTTCAGTTTCTCTTAATAGTTTGGGGAAGTGTGGAAGAGATCCACTGATCCAGCCCACTTCCCAAAAACGATACATGAATTTCACCAAACACATTCACTCAACATGCTTTTTAGTCTATTTATAAAATCTCTGTTTCGTTTTAGTTGTCGTTTAAAGATTTCTCACACAAATTAAGAAAAACATTAAATTTTTTGTTTTATCCTTTATTAATATATTTTATAAAAAAAATCATTGGCCGAAACATTAAAACAGTAGGAATAAAACTGGAATTTTCACAAAATATTTGCATCAAAAACCTAAAACGACAATTATTATGAAACAAAATTTTAACTCTAAAACGACAAATAAAACGAAACGGAGAAAATAAAAAGAAATAGTATAACCAAATTAGTAAAACAAATTCTTACATGTATGGTACAAACACACCAGATATCTAATCATGCGAACCTCCAAAATTCCGGGGATACTTAACTAAATTGAGTTAAATTTGAAGAAGGTTATAAAAAAGCTGAAACTATTAGTAACTCACACACCTCTACAAATAAATTTTGAATTTGTAAGAAAAAAATAAAGAAATAGCAACATGTTTGTTTTTCCTTTTATATGATTTACACAGAGCCGGTTCAAAAAAATTAAGGACCCTGAGCTGGAAAAAATAATTGGCCATAATTTCTTATGTATTTTTTTTATAAAAAAATTGAATCTTAGTTTTAATAAATTTAGTTAAAACAAAAAAAAGTTAGATGGACTTTGTGCATGACCACCACCGCATATAGGTACTGCCGGCCCTCGATTTACGGTATCACCAATACAAGTAAGAGATTGAAGGCTCGACGAACTCCTTGAGATCACAGCGCAAAACATTGAATTATAGGAATAAAAACGTATGTAACACCTTAATTCTTTAGGAAATGATAATTTGTATAGCAATTTTTTGCTTTGGAAATTTTTTAAGCACACAATTTCATTTAGAAAATCAACCGACATAGACCAATCCGCTACCCACAAATCAGTTGAAAAAATTGTCCGGATTTTTTTTATATCATTGTCGTTAGTCTTAATTTGCATTATCATTTTTTTGTTAATTAATTTGCATCATCATTGATAATGATGTAACTCCAATTTCGACAAACGCCCCTCCGCAATCCTCAAAAAGAATCTGAGAAAGTATACGTGTGTCCATTTATTACACACGTTCACGGTTCACTTGATTACAATTTTGATTAACGTTTAAATTGGATATTATAATGATATAATCCCAAAGTACAATTATTATTTTTACAGTGGCTGGTGGCTACTGACCTTAGTCAAAACATCTTTTGGCCTTTGAAGGAAACAAATGGTCTGAAAGCCTTCATGTGATTCTCTACGTGTGTTTTTTACTTTTTTTTTTTAACTGTATATAATTCTTTAAAGAAACCTTTTGTGTATTTCGCTATCTCTAATAACAATCAAAATCTCCAATAATTCACGTACAAAAGCTTTGCGATGATAGATTGATTTGGTTGATATATCTACACGTGTTTCCTTTTTTCTCCTTTTAATGTTGTTACCAGAAACCAAATTCGTTTGGCAACAAGTTTCATTAACTTTTACATATCTAATTTCCTATATAAATCGACGGACATGGTGCTTTCCTTGTTATAAATAAATATAAATATTTAAGAAAAAAGTATATTGTTGCAGGAAAAATATGATCCGTAAATATCATGGAAGGGTACATACAATCTTTGAGTGGGGACTGCCAAAAGAAAGACAAGGAAAGAGAGAGGACTAAAGGAAGTAATAAACGCAATGGCGAAAAAAGGAAAACAAAATTCAATTTGTGTTCTATCTTTTGCAATCACATGACCAAACTACAAACCCTACATATTTATGTCAATTCACAAAAACTATAATTTCTGGGACTAATATGTTACATACGGTGATATAATACAAATCCAATATCAAACTTAGATTATCTTTTAATCACGTGGATAAAATCACAGAAAATTCACAGAGAAATTAGAAACCGCACACACAAAGTAACAAAGTCACAGCAGCCAAAAAGATAAATATAGTTTTCACTTCAGATAAATGTACAAGTCTGTTGCTTTAAAGCTGAATCTATTCCTCATTTGAAAAACAAAATCACAAACAAACTCTCTCAGGTTGATTCAGCCTCTTGCTTTATGATCTCATATTCTTTCCTTTCGCCCAGTTAGAACCCGAAAAACTGAAAAATATGTAACACTATTAGTATGAGTTAAATAACCGATGTAGTTTGTGAGTGTTTTGTTCTTACCAGCTTCTTCTTCTTCTTCTTTTTCTCGATGTATGCCAAAATCTCCTTCTGGCTCACAAGAGCTTCTTCCAAAGCCTAAATCGAAGATAAATCCAAACTCAATCATCGATTATATAGGTTAAGAATCAGAGTTGGCTATTGTCTAGAACGTTTTTTTGGTAGTTTAGATTTTGCCTTACCTTCTTGGTCTCAGTCAACTCTTGCTCAAGCACTTGAACACGATTAAGCGCGGCCTGAAGTTTCTCCTCTTTCTCAGATTCGACATGAGCAGGTTTCAAGTCAAGGAACATGCACTTATCTTCCAGCTCAGCCATACGTTTCACCATCAACATATACTCAGAGCTCGAGACTGGTGCTGCGAATTGACCTTGATTCTGCTTAGACTTTGTAGATTCCTCATAACAGACCGAGTTTCCATATAAAGCAGCCTCAGTGAGTTTGCGTGGAACGTCTTTTGATAGCCTAACCATTGCAACAATTCCCATCACAAAGGCCATGACCCCTCCCACAAGTAATCCATCTCCTTTATTGGGTGCCCCTTTCCTAACGTAACACTCTAGCCCTAAAGAAACTTTAGTGCGTGCAGAAGAAGAAACAATTTTTTCTTACATGAGTCTAGATATATATACCTTTAGAGATTGGAAAGTTTTCAGCTTTCTGAGTTTTTGCTGGCCATGCCATATTCATTGACTTGTCGATGGTAGTGATTTGCTTCTCATACACATTATCTCCATCGGTTTTCTTCTTGATTCTCTCAAGACTCTGCAGCGTTAGTGGAGAATCTCAATAAGCTTAGTCTAATTTGCTGATTGAAAGATATAATTGTTCTTTAACTTACTTCCGAAGCTGAAGTTGATCTTCCTTGGTCTACATGTTTGTGTTCATCTTCTGAAATCGGTGAGCATTTAGCTTCGCGGTTTATAGCGATCTGCTTCCATTTAAAAACATGTTTGCATGTATGAGATTCAAAACAAACAGTCTATTTTAATAAATTTCAGTTCCTAATTAGGCAATATGTAAATTGTTAGTTACCTTGAGAACCTCAGGATCATTCCATGGACCTTTGTCAGAGCGCATACAACCTCCTTTGTCTTCACAAGTGCAAGCACCTCCAAAGAACTCTGGCAATTCACTGTTTACAATACAAAACATC